CTTTTACACCCTCCCCCACTGCTTAAACCAAGTGGGATGGTTTCCTCCACGGCCGAACTTCCATGTAACCGAAGTAAATTGGCTATACCGAGCCACAGAGGGCCGAACCGTCCATAGCTCGGTCTTCTCCTCTAATTCCTTTCTTCGGCTGTCCCTGTTCAACCTTGGCGAGCTCAAACTTCCAAGTAGCAAGGTCTGACCGACCTAACCATAGTACGTCACGACCGGACTAATTCCAAAACCGGCCTTCCCAGAACATACTGCGGCCGGACTAACTCTGAGACCGGCCTAATTCCGAGTTGCCTACGGACCGGAGTAGTTTTACTCTTTCTTGGGCCGAAGTAACTTTGTCTTCCCAAGGCCGGAGTAGCTTTACATCTATGAGCCGAAGTAACATTTACTTCTCCCAGTCGGAGTAACATTGTTCTCTGGGCCGGAGTATCCTTTACGGCCTTCTTACTTAGTCCTTCGCGTTTTGGGCCTCAAAGCCCAACTTGCAGCTCGGCCCAATTTTTCCCAAAAATTACCCTCTCAGGCTCCATCTATTACACAATTTATAAAGATTCAAAACTTTTTAAATTATATCATATTATTTATTAATATATTAAATTAATATATCAATTAGTCCATATAACTTTGTTGTTAACAGTCTTATTCTTTGATTTTGATTACACAATCATTGTGAGTATATCTTCTAGTACATATTAAATTACGACATAATCCGTTAACATTGTTAAATTAAATCTGAATATACAATCTGTTATACAATAATCCTTAGACTAAAGTCTTGTTTGTCATCTACTATATAATCCATCTTTTTATCTTTTTTCTATCACATCACCTCTCTATTTTTCTGCACATCTTTTCGTAAAAAGACAAAAAGTGCACTTTTTTAGGACATCCCAAACCAACCCTAAGACTAATGTATTGAGTTGGTATAGTTTATTAATAAAACTATACGCGCCAATTGAGGTTTATAGTTTTGAAATTTAAATGTTATAGCATTTATTATTATATTAATTGGTATAATAATTGGTATGTAGCAGCACTGATATTATACATATATCATTGATCTTGTGAAACTGTTGTAAAATTAAACCCCTTTCATGGTTTAATAATAAATCATTTGTAAAACAAAATTTAGGAAAAAAATCTAGGACCACTCAAATTCATGATGCATTATGGAGTAATTGTGAAAAATCCAACACTAAAATTCATGATGAAATCCAGCTCACTCTCAACATTCTGTTATAGCATTTATTTATATTTATAAAAAATTTAAAAATTCAAATAAAAATTTGTTTGGTAAATTTTTGATATATAAATCAGTGGTCTCAGTTTATAAATTTGGCAAAAAATATAAACTCAAAAAATATGTTTCCGTTTTGAGTTTTGAGTTTTTTTTTTTTTACCACCCAACGCTGACCAAACAACCCACCACCATTTTCCACCACCATCTTCGCCACCACCACTCACCACCCACATGCCACCACCACCACCACCCGCCGCCACCACCCACCTGCCACCCACTCGCCACCACCACCCACCTCTCGCTGCCACCACCACCACCACCCCACCTGCCATCCACCCGCCACCACCCACCCACCCCACAACCATCCACCGCCGCCACCACCACTCACCACCCACCTGCCATCACCATCCACCACCCCGTCACACCACCAATCATCCACCAACCGCACCAGCACCTGCACCCACCCACCACCCACCACTACCACTACCACCATCACCCACCACCCACCCGTCCCTGCCACACATCACACCCACCCAACCACCACCACCACGCACTCGGCTACCACCCATCACCTCCACGTCACCCACCCCACCACACCACTATCATCGCACCTACCCGGCTACCACCACCACCACCCGCAATCCGCCACCACCCCCACCGCACGCCGCTACCACCCCACCACTTCGCTACCATCCCCACCAGGCCACGCACCACCACCATCACCACCGGCACCACCTTTGCCATCCGACCAGCCCATCCAGCGCGCGTTCGTGCGAGCGCGGCCACCACCACCACCCCACTCGCCTCACCACCCACCACTCGCCACGTCACCGCACCCACCCCCACCCGACGAATCCCACCCACCACGCACCACCAACCACCCTAACCCACCTGCTAACCCACCATCCACCTCCACCGTCACACTTGCTCCCACCACCGTCTTCCGCACTATTCACTAACTTGCCATTTCTCACTCTTTTTTATATTTTTAAATTTTTTTAAACATTTTGTCAATTACCAAACACGTTTGTAGTTTATGTTTTTCTAAAAATAAACAAAAATCAGTTTATAAATTTTTTTTAAATATAAACTGAAAACATAAACGTTACCACACAAACCCTTAATTTTGTTTAGAATTTAGTTTTGTAGTTGTTTGTTTTCATATTTGCTATTGAATTCAATAAAAACAAAACTAAACCAAATTATATATAATAAATTTGTTTAAGAGTAATTTTGGTATCGAAAACATGGAGACACCAAAAGTTGTTCTCCCTTTGCATACCACTACAAATATAATTATCAATATTTGTAATCACATAGGCAGTGTTTGGGAAGAGTTTCTTTTTGTTAGTTTTTTGCTAAAAGACAAAATAAGTTAAAAAACCAAAAAAAAAATAAATTCAGACAAAATATTATATTAAACTGATAATCATTTTAATTTTTCTCTCACAAGCATCACATTCAACTACAAAAAAATTCAACTATCTTCCCAAACAAAAAAAAAAAAATGTCATTTGCCACTCTTTTGTTAAGATCCTACTAAAGGACACATGATGCTGCTTTGTTTTGTATCATTTGCCTATGGCGGTGTTTGGGAAGAGTATTTTTTTTTTGTTTTTTTTGTTAGTTTTTTGCTAAAAGACGAAATAGGTTAAAAACCAAAAAAAAATAAATTCAGACAAAATATTATATTAAACTCATAATTATTTTAATTTTTCTCTCACAAACATCACATTCAATTACAAAAAAATTCAACTATCTTCCCAAACACAAAAAAAATTTCCTTCAAAAATAATCAAAAACTAAAAAAACTTACTAAAATAACAACTTCCCAAACACCCACTATATATATATATATATATAATTGGGGTATTAAATTGTTCTAAATTGTCTAAACCCTTTAGCAAGTTCGATCCAAATTAAATTTGGTTTGGAAATGAAGCTCAGGCCCACACCAAATCAAAATGTATTGCCCAAACCATAATATTTTTTAGGTTGCCTCAGGATTGTTTGGATTAAGTTCACCCAGTACAAATAGGGATGCTAGTCATATTCTTTTCATTATATTGTTTGGATGCGTCAAGAATGTAAATCCGAGTTAATCATTCAATATGGAATGAGATCTCTCTGAACACTTTTTTTTTCTTTGTGCGTAGAAATCTCAATATTGATAATGCAATTTCTGATAATGGCATTCCCGCCATCCAAATGAAGCCTTTAACCAAAGGGCTTGTAACCCGACGGTATGCCCGTCTCTCATGTACGACAGGTTGGGGTTCCACTCTCGCCTTTGACATGAGTTGGGTGGTTTGGGTGAGACTTTTCTAGTTTCGATCTCTACGATTAGTCACCCAGTTGTTTGACATGACAAATATAAGCGCACTTATTCAGGTTACACCTCTCTATTTTTTTACACATCTTTTTATAAAAACTTAAAAAATATACTTATTTAAATTATTCCCTCCCCACCCTCCTCCCTCTAGGGCCCTAAGAGTAGGCTACGTATATACATTATATTTTGAATTGTCATAAAAAGAAAAATAAAAAGCCTTTAATTTCTTCATACATGTATAATTTCAAGTCCTATGGATGGAACTTATCAAAACATTTCAATCAATTTTTAATGATAAATTTATCATTATAAAAATATTTTTTAAAAAATACAATTAAACTACTCACACTTCCTACATAATTCAATACAAACACAAACAAACTAAAAATAAATAAAATCTCACAAACAAAAACAAAAACAAAAATATCTCAATCATTTATCACTTTGATAAATTTATCAATATCATTACCAGTACAAAACCATCATTCAACAATCACAAAACACATCCAAAAAATCTCCAAAATTTCTCATTATAAAACGAGAGGCAATACCTTAAAAAAAAAATATAAATCAATAAAATAAAATAAGATTTAATGAGTATATAAATCCAATTAGTCGCACCTACTTGTAATTGCATATATTATAAATTTTCTACTCGTGATTTTCATTTCTTTCATTTTGAAACATTTTTTTTTTCAAAGAACTTGGGATCATTACAATTAAGTATAAACCAGTCTTCTAACATGGCATATCATATTAGTGTGAGTATTCTGCAAAGTTCTTAGATATATTCCAACCTAAATGCTCACTCCTGTTGTTGAATCTATTCAAATGGAAAATACTTTTCAAATCTCAATTATATCACCAGCACATTATAAACAAAGTCCCACAATTGTCCCCAAAGGCAATCACCAATCAGTACCTTTCTAAGAATTCATGTTCATATTTCACTCAACTGTAATGTTAAAAAATATCTTGACTAATGATCTGGGCTGCGAAAAAACAATAAAATTTTCATTTTCCCTCCAACTTTTCTTATTCGCGGCCTCACTTAACATGTATGCATGCATGCATGCATACATACATCTATTAACTAAATTTAGGTCAAGGAAAATGATACAAAAACAGAATTTTCATAAAGAAATCTCATCCAGAATATAGCAGTGACATTTGAGAAACTACGAGCCCATGTGATAGGGTTTTTTGTTAGGAAACAAGATGGCCATATTGAGCCATATAAATTCTGTACACAAATTTTGGATAAAAATTCTGATTGTGTAGAATTATGCATCGAATAACGCTTTGCGTATTCAAAAGCAAATCATTGATAGACAAATCCATTTAAAAATAACATAAAATGGGAAAGAATAAGATTTTTTTAAAAAAGAAAGAAAGAAAGAAGATATGGTTGAAGTCTTAGATCAGATAAATAAGGAATTCCTTCAATTATTAGCACAAGTTGACAATGCCGAGCAATACAACTGAAGCTAAAAGAGAGTATTAAACCCAAACACTAGTAACGTCACTACGACGCAACTACATCAGAGATCAGATTTCTCATTGAAGTTGTATAAAAGATTTTGCAGTCAACTAGGCCTGAAGAAACCTACAACAACAGCAAAATTTCTATTAAAATGAGTTCAATGGACCAATAAAATTTTACCATGTCAATTTTTGCAAACTCTTTATTTCAAAGAACCAATTTGTCTTCCTAGAGGTCATGATTCACCTCCTAAGTTCTTCAACTGTATGCACAAATGTAGTACAATACATACCTGATATTGCAGAAAAGCACATTGAGTGACTTTTGAGGCAATGAAAACTTGGATCTGCAAATTCTCTTAATAGATTCTGTGCTCCTTAATCAGGAATTCATTGTAGTAACATAAAAAAGATGCAACAGTCTCTGTACAGAATCTGGTTAGCAGCACAAGAAGAAGAAAAAGAAAACTACATTGAAAGATAGACAGACCTACATATCAATGGCCACATAAGGTGGAACACTAAACTAGCAACACATCATACAAAAGTTACCCAAGGGTGTTTGAGAGTTCATATAGAAAACTCCGCCAAGCTCACCTGACCTGACAATCACATGGTGAGATTCTGCTTTGTAGCTTCCATTTTCAACAACAGATCTTTAATATCTGCTTCCATCCTCATCTTCATATTGAAGTATTCCCGATGAGCTCTTTCCAGTGCCTGAAGCTCTTCGATTTTTTGTTTGCGCATTTCCTCAGCCTCAGGCACACGCAATTTCGTGATTCGACTAGTATACTCTTCTTCATTTTTTTCACTCTTAGCAACCGCAATGCGTTTCAGCCCTTCAGCTTCTCTTCTTGCATCATCAGCACGTGTTTGGAACATTTTAGCCTCTGCGTGTTTGATTCTCACAATACTCTCCAATTCATCGAAAACAGGCTCCTTTTGAGCACTCCTTAGCAATTCTGAGTCAACATTGTACTTATTGTTCTGGTCGGAACTAAAGCTGGGGAGTAAACTGGAAGCTTTCTCCAATTGAGGTGCTTTTTCTGAATAAAGCTGTTTCAGCCATACAGCTTCATGGCTGGACCCAGGAATCCCATTACTCCCTTCTTGATTCTTGTTGGATAGCTCCTTCCCAGACAAAATGGGAGTGTTACTAGACTTGAAGGAATCACTTTCTGAAATCAATAGGAATTTAGGTTTAGATCGAAGATTTATTAGAGCAATCTACTCGAAAGAAAAAACACATGCACCAAGTGTAGATAGTATAGGAGTCCCATTAAAGCAATTCACAGTCATGTATTGCACCACAAAGAATTAGGAATAACAAATCATCCTTCCCCACAAATTCAAAAATGTTAATCCTTTACGTTAAACAAATACATTATTGTAAGACACCTTTATCAATTTTCCTCTTTGCCACATGGATGATTTACAAAATAGCATAAACAGGTCATCCAAGTACAATTCAACCATAATATGAGCTCTTCAGTTTATGAATGGACCAACTTAAGAAGCATGGACACTTCTTCTAAGGCAAAGTGTCACTGACATGATACAACATTTGTCGAACACTTCCCAACAGTTGGACACACATGAAACATATTACAAATTTGAATAAAATAACTAGGAATCTAATGATAAAACGAAAACAATGTACATATATACATTCATTCTCCTTGTTTAAACTTTAAAAATTATCTTTGACTTAATTATTCAAATGTATGATATATAACAATGATTTATTCTTATATATGACATATTACAAATATATAAAATTACATATTTTGCATATGTCCCCCATGTGTTGCGTCTTACCATTTTTTGAAAATTTACGCATTGGCATGTCCATGTTGTGTCCATGCTTCTTAGGTACCAACAGATACTGTTATACTAGTCCCATATATCACCACCAAAGACTATACTTAGCAAGCAAATTGTATCATGATAATTCTTAGAGGACTTACGTTTAGATTCTAATAGGTAGACTTATTGTCTAATAGGTCATATTATTATTAATGGCGTTTTTCATCAAACACCATTAAAAAAAGTCACTAATTGTTAATTTTCAGCGACAGTTTGAAGCTTGTCAAAAAAAATGTCACTAATTATAAGTTTTAGCGATAGTTTAAAAACAAATCGTCACAAAAAAAGTCACTAATTCTCAACTTTCAACAACAGTTTGAAAATTTTGTCGCAAAAAAAGTCACTAATTGTAAGTTTTAGTGATAATTTATAAAAACTGTGATAAAAAAAAAGTCACTAATTATCAATTTTTAGCGACATGCAAAAAATTGTCACAATTATTTTTAGTGACAATTTTATTAGAACTTATTTTTAATAGGACTTGATGGAAATTAAGTTCAACTATTAAGACCTAGTAGTAGTTTTCCTTAATTCTTATACATTGTCCATACAAAATAAAATAATAAAAAAAAAATGATGGGTAATGTAATCAGTATGATAGACTGATAATATTCATGCAATCACAAAAGCTAAAATACCAATTAGTCCCTTCAAGTTTGCTTTAGGCCTTGTTTGGCAAAGGCCATTTTGAGGCTTTTTGGGCTAAAATCCCCGAAAAGACAAAATAGGTTAAAACAGGCAATAAGACAAAATGTCACATCAAACTCATAATCATTTCACTTTTTATCTCACAAACATCATATCCAACTACAAAAAAATCCAATCATCCTCCTAAACACAAATTTTACCCTACTAAAATAGCCAAAAACTAAAATCGTCAACTTCCCAAACACTCACTTGGTTTCCAATGTGATCTAAGATGCACAGGAACTTGTGTGGGGAAGCACGTAAACCCACCTTTTATAATTATGTAAATGTAATCCAATCCATTAACAGGGGTGGAAAAAACAATCCTGTTATATCGTGTGCTTCTTAATTGAACTAATTTTACGTTTCAACTAAGAAAATGATAGTTTAAATGAAAGGAAAAAAAATGGAGAGAAAAAATCACCAACATTTCGAGGTGAAATTATTTATCCTTTTGCGAGCTACTGCAAGTTTTAGGTGAAATTATTTACCCTTTGGGGGTAAGCTATCATTATGTCCCAAAAGGACACAGAATTTCACCGGAAACTTGTATTAGTTCCCAAAAGGATAAATAATTTCACCCCAAAATGCCAGTGACTCTCTCTCTCTCTCCCTCTCTCTCTCTCTCTCTCAATTTCTTAATTTAAACCCTAAAATTAGCTCATAGAAAACACAGGATATAAAATGATAGTTTTTCTCCCTTACTGGATCTACATTGTTTAACTAGGACAGTTGGAGGGCTTCAATAGAAAAATTAAGGGTGTGTTTGGTTTGTGTTTTGAGATAAATTTTCAAAAAAAAATTTGGGGAGAGTTTAGAATTTTTTTTGATTTGTTTGGTTGTATATTTTGAAAATAATTTTGGAGTTTGGGATGATTTGATATTTTGTTAAAGTCGAGTAGATGTGTGTGAGAGAAAAAGTAATTGATAAGGAGAGAGGAAAGAGAAAAAGTGATTAATTGATGTATGATAGAAAGAAGTAATTTTAGAAAAAAAAATTTTAAAATTTATAACCAAACATGTTTTAGAAATTTTCTTCCAAAAACATATTTTAAAACACAAACCAAACACACCCTAAAAGTTTGAGTGTAATATTAAAAACTAGAGCAAAGCTGGAGCAAGTACTTGACAGCTTACCCAAAAAGAAAATAGCAACAACAATAATTTCTACTGGTGAAAAATCCCGGGGGGGTTGTGGAGCTTCACTCTTAAAAACTTTCTAACTTTTTATTTATTTATTGACATTGAGGTGTCCAGATCAAAGCCTGACTAATCCTCAGGGGTGCACAGGATCCCAGCAAGGAGTTTCCCATAAGTGCACCACAGTTAATTCAAGGGTTTTCCCCCTAGTCCGATGGCTCCAAGGAATTGTTAGCACCTAAAAAGTTTCGATCCCTGAACCATAGATGGAACATAATCCGAAGACCCAAGGCCTTGCCACTAGGCTAACCCCTTGGGGTGCTTAAAAAATTCTAACTTGACCGCAACATATTTGAACTGTTAACGATTTCAGTTAATTCAACTTTAGTTTCAATAAAATGTTCTATTTGAAATGCAAAATCAACAAATAAGACCAGTCACAAGGTTGCTGAGAATGACTGGAACAAATTTATTCAATTACCAAGTATGATTTAAAAACTTATGGTATATAACAAAACAATCTTTTCTTAGCTTTGCTCTTGTATGTAAAATAAGTAAAAAGGGGGTGAGTTGGAAATTTTATGAGATATATTTGAGAATGATGAAAACAAAATACAATATAGCAGTCACATTATATCACATCACAGCAAATATTCTATAAACACACAAACTGGATGTGTAATATAGAGTTTCTACAGGTATTCATGTTGGCAACACCAAAATTGTGACAACTAGTGACCAAAGTGTAACACTATAACTACATCTCATGTACAAATAACTACCAACCGTAAAAAAGGATTTAATATATCTATGCAAAGAAATTTAAGTAAAAAGCAATGGTTTGACAAGTGAATTTGATAGCTACAAGGGTTTGAGAATGAAGAATTATCTGAAATGATTAAGCCACAAATACGAAGTAAACTTGGAAAAAAGCCCACTACTTAGGTGGCATTTGATTAAACTGAAAATTAAAATCTAAAATTTAAGGACTAAAAATTGAATGCTAAAATTTTTACTATGAAAAACTGTTTGGTATGTATAACAATTAATTAAATTCTCAAGTTGTTTGGCATATACCAAAGATGTTTAAAATTTATTAATTTTTTTTTTTTTTTTTCTCACTCCTTATATTGTGGTGTTCAGTTGGTAGCAACACGGTGGTAGTGATGGTGACAATGTGACGGTAGTCATGTAATACTTTTAAATGCAAAGCTGCAGCTTCAAACCCCAGTTGGGATAGATGCTGGTGTAATGTACCTTTTACTTAAAAACAGATACACTAAAAAAAAAAATGAAAGAAAAAGAAAAAGAAAAAGAAAAAAAGTTAAGAAAAAATCACCTTCAATAACTAAAGTTTTCCTATACTTTTCTTTTTTTATTAAGATTCTTAGTGGAAACAAAGGGATCACTCTGAAAGGCGGGGCTGCTAGCTTTCACATGATCGGGATTCTCTAAAAAGCCAAAGTCATGGGTGGCCAAGATGATCCACTTAGAGACTTGGGATTTCAGCAGAAAATACAAAGGTTGCTTAAAACCAGCAACATTGCAAGTGAAAGTGGCTCTAGCTCCATACAGATACATGGAATTATAAGTGTTCTAATGCACGGATTGTAATGTGCATAAAGAAAGTTAGATCATTCCCCCAAATACAATAGTGTTTCACAAACCAATAAAGTTCTTTGTTATACTTACCAGTAAGGAAAGCTATAATCTGGCTTTGAATCTCTCGAAAATCAGATTTGTTTGCCAATCTTGACAGCATCAGAACAGCAATATTATGCAGTCGTTTCCCTCTCATATCCTCACTAGCAGAGAAAATTCTTCTAACATATTCAAGCTCCTTGGAAAGTGTTTCGGCTGTCCACTCCTTTGCAAAATTCTGAAAAACTTCCTTCACAAAGCCAAACATCTCAGATGGATGATCGCAGGCAACACAATGGAATTGCATTTCTGCGGTTCCTTGAGGCCCAGATGCACTACGCCCATTTCTAATATAAGATTCCCGTAATGCACAATCTGCATGGCACCAATGGAGGCATACATCACAACCAACCCAACTACATGTGTTAGATGCCATGTCAAACTTTGAACATACAAGACACATGCAAGTGCTACAGAAACCATTCTTCTGCATGCAGACCTTGCAATCACATTCATCCACGGGCAAAATATTCCGACAAGTAAGATTTCTGCATCTCATATTCAGAAAAATCTCTGCCAAATCAGAAGTTGAAATATCATAATTTCTCTGAAGGAATTCTTGAATACCAGTTCTCAAAGCCACCAAGATTTCCAATTGAGCTCGATGAGACTTCAGCAGCATCTCCATAGAAATGTCCGACCTATTTTGCAGTGCTTTCTGAAAGGCAGATAGTTGCCACCGTTTACCAGCATTCAGAATGATATCACAAACACTATCCTTTAGGCGTGCTATAGATTGTCCAGTCATTTCATTGAATTTCTGAGCCATTACATGCACTGGTTCAGAAATCATCATGGTGATTATGGGCTCAACAAAGTCTGCCCCTGCTATCAAAATTTGCCCTTTCTCAATTTGATTACTATTCTTATATAAACTACCACTATCCTTCTCTCTCGTTACCCGCTTCTTGTCTTTACAATATTCTGAACCATTTTCATGAGACCCAACACCCTGTGAAGGGGATCGTACATCATTCTGGTGCCTTGACTGTACTCCTGACAGCTGTCTATGCAAACTCAACTGTCGATCCAGTCCATGTGGCATCGTGGAGCTTCCTTCTGCAACTTTAAGTTGCTGTCCTTGCACACCTTGACCATTCGAAATACATTGTGATGCCTGAGATTGATGATAAAAGCCATTTCCATTTGATAATACCCTTTGATACATCGAAGCTTCTTTGTCCTTCTGCTCATTTGACGGCTGACCATGCCAAGTTGCAAGTGAAACCTGATCCACTCCCTGAAACAAGGGTCGACTACCAACTGATTGCTCATAATTATCAAATGAATTGTGTGTGAGGGAACAGCTTGGATTGTGTGTAAATGGCTGAGAACCTGAAAAAGACATTGACATAGTGCATCCATCAGAATTCGTACGGAATGAGCTAGGGAAGGACTGAGCACTTTTTGCATAACTTGGGGAACCAGGAGCCTGAACCATATTATGGGAATTAATAGGCAACAGAACATTTGGTAAGCTAAGAGAAAGATCAAGTGATTCCATTGCCAGCTTTTCATCCTTAGGCTTATTAAGAGCAGACAGGTTTGGTTTTTCTGGCTGTTTAACAGGATCCCTGAAAAACAAGTCCAACCCCCTGGTACTTGGTCCTTCCATATCATTATCTCTGCTAGTTAAGAGGGAGTTTGATTCTTTTTCAACCTTCACCTCTTCTTCTGCAGAATCACCAACATCAGAGGGTGAAACAGCCACATTTTTACCTTTGTCCTTGAAATTCTGGGTTATATTATCCTTCAGAACAGGCAAAGCAATCTCAGGGATACCCCTACCCTCAGAGGCATCCTTATTTGATTCGGGAAAATCAGTATCCCCTGCCTTGACTTCAAGGTCTATGCCCATGCTTTCTTTATGTTCCTCTTCCATAGGCATTGCCTTCTCAACAAAAGTGTCCTTGCTTGGTTCCTCCCCCTCACAACTGTTATTTTCCCTTGGTCTCTCTTCCTTCTTGCTACTGCCATTGTCTGCTGTGGTTTCAGTTACATCTTCATTGCCATTCGTGCTTTGGACTGAATTACTCTGACTATTTGGTGTCTCATCAACTTCCTTCACCAGATCTGTAACAGTTTTCTTCGGTCCAACCTCTTTTTTCTCTTCAGAAACACTGTCTTTATTGAGCTCTACTACATACAAAGATTTTGCCCCATCCTCCATAAATTTATCCTGAACCTGATGCTCACTTTCAAGCTCCTTTTGACCCGGATTCAACCCAACAGGACCATCGTCTTCAGCTACAGGTTCACTTTCACAAGCTGGTTCAGGTTGAGGTTGAGGTTCAGGTTCAGGTTCGAGCTCCCCTTCTTCCATTTCACTGCTACTACCACTCTCTGCTGGCAAATCTTCATTCTTCATCACTTCAACAATCTTCGAATGCTCACTTTCAGAGTCCTTGGACCACGGTGGTGACTTTGCTTCTTTCAGTCCTTGTGGGGACCTCATATTCCCTTTACCTCCCGATACAGCCTTACTCCCTCTAATTGAATCAGCACCAGTTCTTGTACCTTCATCAACTTCTTTTCCAGTTCCGAATCTCCGCCACGACGAAACACTACCCGCTCGCCGTGACCGATCCCTCTCTGATCTATACCCCTTTGGGAATTCTCTCCTTGTCCCAGAAAAGCTCTCAGACCGATGAATTCTATCCCCACCAGATCCATCCAGCGGTGAAGAGCTCAGAACGCCCCTGTCACTACCATCCCTGTATCGATCATAGCTCATTCTCCTATCATAACTCTCTGAATCATAATCTGAGCGCTTCCTAATCAATCGTGAGCTCTCGCGATCATCAGCTGACCGATCATACCGAGAAGAAGAAGAAGATGATGATAAGCCCTTCCTTCCATTCTCAGACTTGTAATAAAAGTTGCGATGCGATGAAGACCGGCTCAGACTTGAATCCTCATCCCCCCTTCTTCCCCAATCTTTACAAACACCCTTTTCTCCAAATGAACTGAGATCGTCCCCTGACCTCAACTTCTTCATGCTTAATACACTAATACAACTAATATAACAAAATACAGACCATCAAACTTTAACTGCAACTTGATACCCTAAATTTTTTCCCCAAATCTACTAAATCCCCCAACTCTCCAATCAATCAAAGACCACCATCACATCTGAAAACAACCTTATGTAACCGAAAAGAAAGCACCTTTTAGTCTTCACCCAAATCTCCACAAACACCTAACTCTGAGGGTAAATCAAGATCAATTAACTCCACCGAATATCCGAATTTGTAGACAAGTTAACAAACAAAAACAGAAGATAAAACAAGATTGAGCTAAAAAAAACCCTAGTTTCCAGCTGAATCAACATCATCATCAGCACCAGCTACAGATCTGAACAAGTCGATACCAATTCCGGAAAACAGATATATATTAGCCATAAAGGTAATCAACAATGAAAGAGTGAGGTCCGAAACCCTAGGTTTGAGAATTAGGTGAAAGAGATTGAAAGTTTCGAAATAAGATGACAAGTGAGAGAGTTGTAGGGCCAATTACCAGACAGCACGACGCCGGAGATGATCGGAGAAGCTTTTCGCGGCGAGAGATTGGTGAAAATGGGGTTGGTGCGTCGAGGTTTTATGTGTGTATTCCAGAGAGAGAGAGAGAGAGAGGGAGAGGTGTTTTCAATGTGTGTATTTTGGGGAAAGTGTCTGGTTCATTTATCGCAGTCAACGCACTTTTAACCACCGATGTGTGTGTGTGTGAGAGAGAGAGAGAGGGAGAGAGAGAGAGAGAGACTTGAATACGCAAGTGCGTTGAACGCATCTAATAATGTAAGTCTGACTAGGGAAGCCAGAAAATGGAAAATAGTGAGACTGGTGGAGCCCGCCTGTATACTCTTTTTGTTTTGTTTGAGATGTTTTAAATAAGTATATTTTTTAATTTTTTTTATTAAAAAATTAGAAAAAATATATGATTATTTGAGTTAATTTTTTAATTTTTTATCAAAAAAATATGTATTAAAAAATTATATAAATTAATGTGTAGGAGAAGATTAGGAGCGTGAGGTGGCTGAATTGATGCTAAGAAATGATTGACTACTTTTCGGATATTGCACTGGACTGTGCTGTTCGGCCCGTGGAGGCCATCACGAGTCTCGTTTTGATAATCTGAATGGTTCAATGTGTAGAAATCGTCGAGTACTATACGTTTGTAAAAAATCACGTTGATCGGATATCGATAACTATCTGATCAGATTAGTTTTTTTTTTAACCGTTAACTATAGCACCATCCACTTTTTGTATACAAAACTGATTTGATCATGTAGTTAACAATATCTGATCATGTAGTTAGCAATATCTGATCAATGTAATTTTTTATAGACATATAGTACTCGACAAGTTCTACACATTGAACAGTTCAGATTATCAAAACGGAACTAGTGATGGCCCCCATAGGCCGAACAACAGTGTGTTAAAATTGCATCCCAACTGTCCAATTTTTCTTAAGAAACGTAGACACAGAGCTGAACCAGTCAGATTTGTCTTGTAATTTTGTATGTAAAATTAATTTTTTAATATTTTTTTGTGAATAGTAATAATTTTTTAATTTTTTTAGTAACTTTTTGACTTTTTGTCATTTTTTTAACATGCCAAACTGGGCTTAGGAATGGCAATGGGGCGGGGCCGGGGATCACCCTCCCCGTCCCTGATGGTAGAAACTCCCCTCGTCCCCGGTCCCGACCCCGACGGGGAGCTCATCACTGCCCCTACTCCCGCCCCTTAACGAGGATCGGGTTTTCCCAACCCCAAAAAGTCCCCGACCAGAAGAAAAAAAAAAATCAATTCCATGATTTCTTCAAACTACAACAACAACAATTAAACAGATCTGTCATCAACAACAACAATAATTATTAACAATGTTGTTCATTACCATTAACAATCTCATGAGCTCAAAAATTTCAAATCTAACAAATGTAAATAAAAAAAAAAATCAGATCTAACAGATCTGTTGTTCATCACCATTAACAATCTGATGAGCTCAAAAAAAGAAAAAAAGAAAAAGAAAAAAGATCTAACATATATATATATTTTCAGATCAGATCATATATATATTGTTCATCACCAGATCAGATCACACACACACACACACAGATCTAACACTGATCACCGTGGTGGGAGGAGGGAGAAGACGTCGGAGATGGGAGGAGGAAGAAGACGTCGAAGATGGGAGGAGGAAATCGCTGTGATGGGAGGACGGGGCCAGCGGTGGTGGTGATGTCGCCGTCGGTGAGAGAGAGGGGGGGTCGGGGCTCGCTGTCGGTGAAAGAGAGGGGGGTCGGGGCCAGAGAGAACAACGAGAGAGTAAGAGAGAGTTGAGATGAGAGTGAGAGTGAGAGTGAGAGAGAGAGAGAGATATCAGAGAGTGAGTATGAGAGCAACACATATTTGGTATATTATATACGGGTTTGGTTTTATATACATATATATATATAAGGGGTATAAAAGTAATTTTACTTCGGGAAAATTCGGGGATGGGACCGGGGCCGGGGACGGGGACGGGGACGGGCCGAGGCTTAAACACTGATCACCGTCCCCTGCCCGAAACAGATCGAGGATTTATTTTCAGATACCGTCTTCTTCCCGTCGGGGGTATTTTTCGGGAAAAAATTGCTTAAATCGGGGTCGGGATCGGGGATCCCCGTCGGGTCGGTTTCAAATTGCCATCCTTAATTGGGCTTGAATATTCCATGGTATTATTTCTATGAAAAATTTGGCCATTAATCCCTCTTATCTTTATTTTCTTGTTAAGCTTCGGTTTGAAAAGTGAATTGACTTTTTGATTTTTTGAATTTTTTGACTATTTTAACATGAGGCTAAAAAGCTTGGTTTAAGAAAAACTTTTGACTTTTTTGTGAGAGAGAAAATCTAATGATTATGAGTTGGATGTGATGTTTTGTCTTACTTAGCTAAAAAGCCTATTTTATTTTTTGTGACTATTTTAACCCAAAAAACCTTAAGACCAACTTGCCAAACAGAGGCTAAAAAGACTAAGAAAAATTATATTTTTAAAATCTTCTTAAAATTATAAAGTTTTGTATAAAGGACAAATTTTCAGATTTATATTTTATGTGACAAATTTACCTCTTCACACGCACACTCTCTATCTTTTCCTCTTTCTCTCCATCAGTTTGTCATCTCTCTCAGTTATTTCTTTCTCTATCTCTTTCTAAGAGCTCTTTCCACCACCAACACCACTACCGTCTACACCACCACCACCATCGCCATCTCTACTACCACGACTACCTTGACTACCATTGTTTCTACCACCTCCGTCGTCTCCACCAACACCGTCTCAACCATCGATATTGTTTGTTACCACCACCACCACGGCCACTACCGTTTTACCACTGGCATCTCATCCACCAGCGCCATTCGATACCACCATCGTCATCCTTAACATCCAAGACTTCAGATCTGAGATTAATGACCTCTGATTTGAGATCTATCATCTCAGATCTATATTCTCTCTCTTTTTTTCTCTTTGTTTCCTCATCATGCTCTGTTTTTCATATAGTAAAATTTTACTTTGGTTTGAACCAGATCTAAGGCAATATATGTGCTCTCTCTATCTCTTTATTTCTCTATTTTTTTCTCTAGTATGTCCTCTATTTTTGTTTGGCAGAATGAAAGTAAAATTTTACTCTGATATGTGCTCCATTTTTGTTTGACAAAATGAGAGTAAAATTTTACCTTTAAGCTAATATATGTGCTTAACGATACAAAATTGTACTTTGAATCATAATAAATTTTACTCTGAAATACATTGTGATGAGGACTTTGCAGGATAGTAAAATAAACAAGTTTTAAAATAGTAGGGAGTTTTGAAAAGATCTATGTAATTCTTGTCCTTTTGAAAGACAAAGGGGTCTATCACCAAATCCCCCTATTTCTATAACCTTCCAAACTTCATTTTGGGCTCGTTTAAAAAATTAGTTATCTTAATTGATTTTTTAATTATTTTAATTTAATTAAAACAGTTATGTTTAAAAAATTGAATGACTTTTTTTTAGTTGATTTGATAATTGTGACATAAAAAGTAAAATGATTATAATTTGAATATGACATTTTTTGTTAGAAACTATTTTAATCTATTTTATTTTTATTGATTATTTTAGTTATAAAAAAATAAAAATAAAAAGCTACCAAACTCGATTCCCAAACAGTTTGTAAGTTTTGTGATCTAAATTGTTCATTCCATGAGTTTCAAAGAGAATATATATATATATATATATATGTATGTGTGTGTGTGTGTGTGTGTGTAAAAAAATTAACTTGATCATACTAACTAATCATATTTTTATAGAATTCACGGTAAATATGATTTTAAATTAAAACCATTCATTTTTTTAAACAAAATATAATAAGTTGGTATATTTATTGATGTATGATTAAGTTAATTATTTATATATATTCTTCTCTTTGAAACCTATGAGATGAACAGTTTGAACCATCATAGAGCCCCAAAAGGTCCATAAAATGGAATCTTGATAGTTATAGAGAAGATAGAGTCTTGAGGGAAGCTGCTCCCTGTTGGGAGATAAGAAATGACTAACTTAATATAGTTAGTTTGTGTGCATAGAAATATAAAAGGAAATGCAAGCCTTTCATAAGAGGTGAGTTCCACCAGTCCCTTTGTGAGACAATTGCATCTCATTCTGTATTTAGTTTATATTCTTAACATGACTGAACTTAATACATGTTATGATTTTTTATTGATTAAGAATATCATATCAACAATAATGCTATATAATATTCTAGACTATTTAATAATTTTTCTAGGCTGGTACAGTATGCACTGTTGGAACAATCTTCTGTGTAAATAAAATAAATTGAAATTAATTCAAACAAAATAAATAAATAACATACCGAATTTATTTATCGAACCGAATTCAAATCAAAAGACCAAGTCGAGTGTGTGACACTCTGTCCTTAAGACAGATTCGCCCCGCTACGATGCTTACGGTTGAGTGGCGTCTATCTCCCAGGATGCAATGATCTTAACCAATTTGTAGTAGCACTCCAAAACAAATTGTTCGGCGAACCAAACCTGTGTTCTAAGTCTCTGAATATTTATTCCTAAAATTATATATGAAGAATAATGCACTAAAAAGAAATGGATAGCAAAAGGACAAAATTTCAGACTCAATTTTTTTTGGGATAGCTTGGACTGCTGCAAATTGATTGTATATATAGGCAAAACAAAAGACCCGAACAGGTATGGACAATTTGAATGAACAGATGAACTATGAAAGAACAGGTGCAATAGTTAATTTCAAACTATTCTGACCGTTGGTACAAGGACCCTTAAATTCAAACAAATTTGAAAAGTTGTCCACAGAGGACCAAGTCAAAGAACTGTAGGCAATTCATTATTTAAACTATTTCAAATATATATATATATATATATATATATTAAACTAATTGAATATATATATATATATATATATTAAACTATAGAAATAGTTAAATAAATTATCAATGATTTTTTAAAAAATTATTGCTAAAACTTACAATTAGTAACTTTTTTTTGTGATAATTTTTTTTTAAAATGTTAAAAAGTTGAAAATTAGTGATTTTTTTTTTTGTAACGATTTTTTTAAACTGTTGCTAAAACTTATAATTAGCGACATTTTCTGTGACACAATTTTCAAATTGTCACTAAAAATTAACAATTAGTGGTGTTTTTAATTGTATTTGATG